GGCTCTGGTGGCAGCGCGGTCAACGGCGACCAGCCCGTGTCGTATTCGCGAAGCAAGACATCGGGACATTCCCACTCCTCGTCGGCGCACTCGAATCATAACTTCTTCCGCTCCGTCGCCAATCTGAGCCTCGTGCCTAGCTCGACGACGACGGCAACAAGCCAGCCGCTTTCGCAGGCCGATCAAGATCTCCTCCGCGACTACGACAACCTCTTCCGCATTTTCTACAACCACTCCCCGATTCTCGACGGTGTCAATATTGCGGATGCTTACGTTCAATGCAAATCTCTCATCACCTTGGCGGACCTATATGACGCATTGGCCGTGGTTGGCCCCAGGGTTGACCACCATCTGCTTCAATTTCAGTCACGGCTCTGGAAGCAGATTGCCAAGTATCCCATCTCATACCTACGTCTTGGCTACCTTGCCCGCAGCAGAGTCATCTTTCAGGAGGCCTTGATTCATGTGGTCGGGCAATGGCCGGCAGGAGAACGTAGCCTGCGTGCTGCGCTCCCTGACATCGTTCTAGACATAATTGAAGACAAGGTCGACGAGCTAGAAGAGGTGGTCAGCCGTGTCGAAGGCCGTCTCTTCCGACTGAGCTTGATGACGGCGAGGGGCGAGCGTGTCACACCTCAGAACAACTATCTCGACTGGCTAGCCGTTAGCCTGTTTCGACAATGGCTGGCAGACAACACCAGTCCTCCGCCCCCAGACCGTCGACTCCAAAGCTCTCGCGACGGTCGGAACGGAAACAACCAGCAACTGGCCCTCCCCGCTGCTGTCCCGCCATTGGCCACGGTCGGCCGCACATATCGCACTCTCGGCGCCTCCTCAGCGGCTTACCTGGGCCACGATGAGTGCAAGCGGTTCTTAAAATTGACGCCTGAGCTGTATAGCCGGGACAATCTCCGACGCTTTGAGAAGCGCATCGACGAGCTGAAGCTGATGGCTCGCGACATTGTCCGGCCTTTGATGGGCAGTGGTTTAGAGCTGGATATCAACAGCGGAAGGGCCGCCGATGGAATTGGCTACCTCACGTGCATAACCGTGGGGGATCGTGACCTTCCTTGGCATGGTGAGCATTGATACGAAAAAAATGGACTCAAATGCTCGGCCAATTTACGGCTGCAGAACGAGATGAAGAAGCATACTGGTTATTCTTCCGACTAATGATGAACGAATTTACTGGCGGATTTTGATCTTATTTTTTGGATTATTTTTGAGTTGGCAATATTTGACGGATACAGCCTGGGATACCCATTGACGAAACTCGCGTCGTGCATCGACACTGCAAAGAAGGCCTGGATTCAGGGAGGCATATAGCATTAGATTTCAGACATAAGCCATTGTCGTTATTGGAATAAGACTTGAATGCGCTTGATGGTAGTGGTACAGAGTGGTACAACGGGGGGATATCGTTAGTCGTCGTCTCCTGTGAGATCTATAATGGAAACTTCGCTCTGCCTCCATCCGTCATCCTTTGTCAAGCGCTCCGATGCCATCGTCGCCTTCGTTCGGGCTACCCATTCCCCGTCGCTCACTTCGACCACCCGGAAAAATCCACTGACGCTTGTCCGTGGCACCATGACTTTTTTCCTGGCCTCCGTTGAGGTAGTTTTTACAATGGGTTTCGGCGCAAACGCATCGTCTGGTTCTAGCCAGGAGGAAGTTGTGACTTTGGTGGTTCGGAAACCACGGAAGCCGGCACCAGCAGCTTCCTTCGGTGCAGCGGGTTTGACCTTGGCAGTCTGGCTGACGGTGATGGACGTGCCAAGGCGGCCACCGCTCTGGACACTCTTTGGCTGCCTATCATGGTTGGTTTCCTGATCCGCCGTTGGCCGCGTGGTGTTGCCAGTCACAAACGATTCCATACGTGTCTGCTTCAGCCCCCGCTGACTCTTAGACAGAGTTGTCGCCAGTCGTATTGGTGACGAACCTTTTGTCGACCCCCGATGTTTCCCAGGGCTTTGGGAAAGACGACGAGGTGCTGATGTAGACATGTTAGGCGGATTGGGCGCGGGCTCGACGAAAGAATCTTCGTCAAGACCTGATAGGTCGATAATGGTATGCTGAGGTGTTGGTGGACTCGCCGGGCTCGACGGGCTCAGCGGGCTCAGCGGGATTTTCAGCGACGGAAAAGGAGGCGCAGGCGAAGCGCAGACGGGGCTAGATGACAACAGAATCGGCTCTGCGGGCTGCCGAGGCTCGGTGATCCTAGGCATATGTTGTGAGCCAGCGTATGCCCAGGGGTTACTGTGAGCGGTTGGTTCTGCGGTGGCAGACACTTTCCCGTTGGACCTGGATTGCTTACTTCGGTTGATTGGTCTCGGCAAGGGGTTCGGACGTTGTGAGGAGGAGGAGGCCGGAAACGCAGCCGCAATCTTTGTTGGATCAGGCCTAAGAATAGTTGGTCGAGGGAGTTGTGGTGGGAGGACATCTTCGTCATCTACTTGATGTTGCGATATTGCACCACTAGTCTTTGCTGATTGTCTTGTAGTTGTGCCCTTTGTGACTTGCATCCACTTATCAAGCGCGCCGTCTTCGGCTGGGACGGCTTTGGCAGGCTTCCTCTTGCTGACGCCCTTGCTGCTTGTGTTCTTGGGCTTTGTAGACGCCTTCGTAGCCTTGGTGCGCTGTTTCTCCTCCCAATCTTCGACAGCAAGAGGTGCGCCTAGCTTGACGAGCGACTCGGGCAGCCAGATCATCTGGGCGGCATATGGGTCGAATGTACTCTTTGGCACAGCCTGGCTGCTCGCTGGCACTCCCTCGCCGTCAACAGCAGCTTCGAATTCCTCGTCGCTATTGAGTCCGAGACCCTGGCGATCAAAGGGCACTTCGTCGGCTTCGTCTATTTCTTGTGAAAGGTCTAGACCGACTATATCGGTCGGAGTATGTGCTACGCGCAGCTCTGGAATACCATCGGTGCTGTGATGGCTTCGTATCCCGGTGATACGATTGATCATTTTCGATTCTTCCTTCTCCATCTCCTCTGCCGTCTGGTAGCTTGCTCGGTCGGAAAGGTGCCTCTCCAGTAACTTGTGGACGAGTAACGCAGGTGACAGGACTCGCGTGAGCTTGATGGCACCGATTTTATTCACCCAGTCAAGCGTCTCATCGGCAAAGTACCGGAGACCTTGCACATCTATCGGGCGACTCCAATTGAGACCCGTCTTCAACCTGTCGATAGTGGTGGCACTTGAGACGACCGGGTGCGTATAATACCTGAGTACTTGGCGATCTGGAAACTCGTCCGGTATGGATAGAGCTTTGTGCCGTACTCTGAAGAAGCCGCTTTCGTTCGTACGTAATTCGTGTCGTAACGTCCTCCTCCAGTCATCAAATTGGTCATCGTCTTCGATCTTCAAGCGGCATAGCGACTTGCCGAACCCAGCTTTCGCCGCCTCACATGCAACTTTGGGACCGCATCCTGGTACACCTTCCGGTATGTAGTCGCCTCCACTCATCAGTGCGACTAACACCATACCCTCTCGATCCAGACCCGTCTCGGCAGACAATAGATCATCGACCTCGTACATGCTGACGTGGGTGGGCGTCTTGGCTCCGCGGGTCCCCTCTGCTGACCAGTTTCGAAGACTTCGGGTGCAGCCGAACATGATTGTGTCGACATCCTCGCTCAAAACTGCGTCGACGATACTCCGCTGCTGTAAGAGAGCGCATTCGGCTTCTGCCTCGCCGGGCGCGTCATGAACTGGGAATCCGAATAGACGAATGACTCTCTTCGCCATGGCTATTGCAACGCCATCTCCTTTACCGGAGCGCTTATTGCGCTTGAAAGCCGGCTTGTGAGGGCCATCAAATACAAAAATGGGGTGTATACCAAGACTAAGTAATCGCACCAAGCGATAGAAAAGAGTCCTGATTGCAGGGTTTGTCCCACCTGGTGAAATCTGTCAGCTCTGAAGCGGCCAAATTGGACGTGGATTTGCCGCTACCTCGTGCGGCTTGTGTTTGGAATTGCCAGATGGCAATATCAATGGCAATCCGTAACGGCCGGCCTGTATTTTCAAGTTTCTCTGTAGCAAGTTTGGCAAGAGACACTCTTCTGCCGGGGCCGAGTTCACGGTAAATTCTGTGGTTGTCATGTGAGTGGGACCTCGCTATCATGATAAGAAGAGGACAGGAGTGGTGGTAAGTACCCTTTGATTCCCATTGCAATTCTCCAATGGCTCTGATCTCAAGAATACCAAGGCAAGAAACTAATGCAGGGAAGAAAGATTAGATCTGCGGGTTGAGTGTAGATGCAGAATTCCATCCAAAGGGGCGGAGGGATATTGGGGGGCGAAATGCATGAAGTCGTTGATGCGTCGATGATTCGGACAGCCAAAAAGAACAACGTTGTGCTCGAAATGAAAGAGTTCAAAATTGAAGTGCAACGAGCCTCCCAAAGATTTGCTATGCGCGAATCATTATGCTCAATAACTCATACACAAGTCGTATCCAATGATTTTCTCAATGCTCCGTCTGTCTGGCGAGAGATAGGTGCCTTTCAGCGTGAGAGATGTTGATTGAAGGTTGGTAGTTGGCTCACCACAGAAAGAGATGGTTACCGGGACTACGGACGGTGCCACCCACCTCAATGACATCTGCACGACCTTACTACGTACATGTAGCGACGGTTCTCCACTTTATTCCAGAGTAAAGCGCCAGCAACAGTGCTCCACAGTGATTGACCCGTTTTCGGCCACAAGTACCTTACCTTAGAGGCCTAATCGACAAGCTCTACCTCAAAGCTCCAGTCTCACGGGCTCTCTTGACAATTACACTTGGACTGTGACCAATTACTCAATCGCGCGCAAACAACACCAGAAGACATACCAGATTGCTAGCAAACGACCCGGCGTGCTTTCCGTTGCAGGCGTTTACAACTTCACAACGGGCAACCTCTGACAACCGAACACGCGGGGCATGGCTTGCTAAACCGGGGCGCAACGCTCTCAACACCACGAATATCTCGTCTCTCTACTACTTCCTACAAGATGTCGTCCTCCGCAACACCGAGCCTCGCCCACCGATCCATTGCCAACATCCGAACCGAGACGGGTTCTGGCATCAGCGGCGGCCCTGCAAGTCCACACACCCCTTCTCGCAACATCTCTTCAACATTTGGCTCCCCGTCCAGTCTACGCGCCGAGGAAGACATCATCGTCATAGAGCTGGGCTCTCGCTTCATTAAACTCGGATTCGCCGGAGAGCCAGCACCGAAGGCCGTGCTATCCCTAGGTCCTGAACAACTACGCCGCGTAGGCGACTTCCGCACGTGGGACCCAGATCACAAGGATGATTGGCGTCGTCGTCCAACGGGCAAGACTTGGGGAGACGACCATGAGCTATGGCAATATGATGTGCGGACCGTTGACTTGGGGCTTGTTGAGGATAAAATAGACCGAGCTGTTCGGGAAGCATTGAACAAGTGACGCATCCCCGCCGCCCAGGACTCTATTACAGCATCACTAATGTTTGTCGTCCAGGTTCCTTCTTATCGATTCACGGCCGCGAAGAACCTCTCTTGTCCTGTCCTCGTCGATACCTCTGCCATTACTGTCGACCACCCTCGATGTTCTTTTCCACCGCTTTCAGGCACCGATTGTATCTTTGATGTCATCCGCAGTCACGTCGGTTGTGGGAGCTGGCACTCGGTCAGCACTGGTCGTGGATCTTGGCTGGGCTGAGACCAGTGTGACGAGCGTCTACGAATACCGCGAGATCCGCACCACAAGAACTACCCGCGCAGGCAAGATGCTGGTCAACGAGACACACAATATGTTGCAAGATGCACTATCGACTTCATCAGCGCACTCGCAGAAGACCCGTCGGGAAAGGGAACAAGGGCGGCACTCTCTGAGTTTTGTGGAGTGCGAAGAAGTCGCCTGTCGCCTTGTCTGGTGTCGCCAAGTCAAGCGTGGCGATCTCCCAAGTATCAGGCGGCCGGAGCAACAGCAACCTGGAGGAGAGGCATTGCCTACGGTCGAGGAGCAGGACGAATCCCCGCCAACTTCTCCCATCGAAGAAGAGCGGTCTGACAGCAATGTCGAGGTTTTGATCCATTCCGTGGAACCAGCGGAGAACCTGACTTTACCATTCCAACAACTGTCAGAGCCGTGCGAAAACACCTACTTTGCGCCACACTACTCACGTAGTAGCTTCGATGATGACGAGCTCCCTATTCATCACCTTATTTACCAACACCTAGTCCAGCTTCCGATTGATGCTCGAGCAGTGTGCATGTCGCGCATTGTATTCATCGGCGGCTGTTCTAGAGTCATAGGCTTGAAGCGGAGGATATTCGACGAGCTGTCGAAACTCGTCCACGAGCGTGGTTGGGACCCCGTTCAGGGGCGTGCACCAAAGCAGTACGAGAACAATGCGTCGCTGAAGAGAGGCAGCCGACGTGCAACCGAAGGTCCTACAGAGATTGAGCCGCCCGCAAGGGAGACGGAAGAACGTAGAGTTACGGGCGAAGATGAGCCTCGAAGCGCAGCGGATGTCATTGAGGACTCCTTGAGGAAGCGAGATAGCCACCATCCTAAAATTCAAGGCACCCTTCGACCTCTGGGTTCTCTCGGGCCGTGGGGAGGAGCCAGCTTGGCATGCCAGCTCAAAGTTATGGCGATGGCTAATATTGACCGCGAGCTGTGGCTGCAACAAGGAGTCAACGGGGCTTCACGGCCGAATGAAGTTGACGTCAAGGCTCAGCAGCGGCAGAGCATGGGACCCGGTGGACTGATGCGAGGAGCTGGAGGTCAATCGAACTGGACATTGGGGGCATGGGGAACTTTATAGCGAGGCGGGTGCAGAGATTTGCCTACAGACATGTGAAAATGCATTGATACCCCGGAGACCTGCTGGCCTTCGAAATATGAAGAAAAGAATGTACGATCAAACTACATAATCATACTCTGTCCAACGCTCGTCTTTTCATTGGAGTGAGCGCGACTGTAGTCAGTTGTGAAGCTGAAGATGCACTTAATTGGGTGAACGGCCCAGTGAAACCCCTGCTATTATGCTTGTAAGCGGTTCATACAGTTATCACGCCGCCTTCGTATCAGATCATCGCACTCCCTCAGAATACTCATTGAGAGGGATACATTGAATTCCAACCTCTCAGTTACCAGACTTCAAAATGGGGAGAGATCCGACAAGTCTCTTGCGCAGTTCACTAGGGGCAGCAAGGAGGCGCCTCCTACACACCTCACCACCCACGCCGCGCATCATTAGCAGAGTGAATTGTTTGGCCTCACACTCACTCCAACAACGCCGTGCCTTTGCAGACGTCAAGCGGCCCTCGACCGCGCCAAAACCCATCATCGACATCAGACATATCAGGGAGAACCCGGAACTACACGAGCAAAATTGTCTCGAGCGCAATTACGTCCAACAGAGCAAGAGCCCCGCCCGCATCAACGAAATTTTTGCGCAATGGCAGGCCCTGCAAAAGGACAGCCGCGCCGTTCGCGAGAGGTCGAACCTGTTGCGCCGCCAGATCGCCAACCCGGCGTCCACCAGCGGCGACGACAATGCCGAATTTAACGAGATCCGGAGCAAGACCCGCGACGAGCTGCTGGACGAGGCCCGCGTGCTCAAGCAGAAGCTCGCGGCCGTGGAGCAGGACGAGGCCAAGCTCGTCGAGGAGATGGAAGGGCTCGCCCTCGCCATCCCCAACCTCACCAGCGACGTCACCCCCGTCGGCGACGAGCCGCGGCTTTTGAGTTACATCAACGAGCACCCCCACGAGACGCCCAGCGCCTCGGACAAGGTGTGGCGGTCCCACGTCCACATCGGCTCGGAGCTGGGCCTCCTCGACTTCGCCGGCGCGGGCACCGTCTCGGGCTGGGGCTGGTACTACCTCCTCGACGAGGCCGCGCAGCTGGAGCAGGCCCTCGTGCAGTACGCCCTCGCCGTCGCCACGCGGCACGGCTGGCGCCAGGTCGCACCGCCCAGCGTCGTCTACAGCCACGTTGCCGCCGCCTGCGGCTTCCAGCCGCGCGACCAAAACGGCGAGCAGCAGATCTACAGCCTCGCGCAGTCCGCCGCCGACGCCGAGCGCGGCAAGCCAGAGCTCTCCCTCGCCGGCACGTCAGAGATCCCGCTGGCCGGCATGAAGGCCGAGACCACCCTCGACGCCACGGAGCTGCCCGCGAAACGCGTTGCCGTCTCCCGGTGCTACCGCGCCGAGGCCGGCGCGCGCGGCGCGAGCACAAAGGGTCTCTACCGCGTCCACGAGTTTACCAAGGTCGAAATGTTCGCCTGGACCGCGCCCGACGCCGACGAGACGGTCGACGTCTTTGAGGAGATGCTCGACATCCAGACCGAGATCCTCGGGTCCCTGGGCTTGCACTGCCGCGTCCTCGAGATGCCGACCGCCGACCTCGGCGCCTCCGCCGTACGCAAGTGCGACATTGAGGCCTTCTTCCCGTCTCGCCAGGAGCAGAACGATGGCTGGGGCGAGGTCACGTCCGCCAGCATCTGCACCGACTACCAGACGCGCAGGCTCGCCACGCGGGCAAAGATTGACGGCAAGCTCACCTTCCCCTGGACCGTCAACGGCACGGCTCTCGCCGTCCCGAGAGTGCTGGCTGCGCTCCTGGAGGCCGGGTGGAACGAGCAGGAAATGTCCGTCTCCATTCCGGCTTGCCTGCAGCCGTGGATGGAAGGAAAGGAAAAGATTGTTCGGAAGACTATCTCATAGCACACGGATACTTTACACAGTCCTACCTGACTTGGACTGAGGACATGGACATGGTGTCTTTTGTAACAACACTTATATTCGCACTTCTGTACATGAGCATTGCCACGTGCATCTAGCGCGTCTCGAAAAAAACCAAAGTCGAGGAGGCATGGCAGGGTAGACCATCAAAAGCATGTTCATCATGTGGCAGAGTCGTAGGGAGGTGATAATTCTGTACTTTACTACTTCCAACACACTACCTACAATACTAAACATCAACTGGACTGTAACCAGCACTACCAATTTCAGACAAAAGAGAAAGGAAACCCAATAACTCCATTTTGATACAAACTACCGTTCATCCCAGGTGACGCCGACCCAGCAGGCTCATGCGTTATTCAATACTCGTCAATATGTCCATATGAAAAAACAACTTCTCAAAAGACACCAATTTCGTTGCCCTAGGCCACGACTTCATTGTTCAGAGTTTCTTGACTGAGGTCGGAGCCAAGGTCTGAACTAACATTAGAACTGACGTTTGAGCTCACGACACTCTCAGTCCACTCGCTTTGGAGGTCACTCTGCAAATCGCTGTGGTTGTCGTCGTAATAGTCCGAGTAATCGCCGTCGCCGGTGTAGTTTTCGGTACTCTCTGTCACGACCGTTGTACCGCGGCTACCACGGCTCATACGACTGCCATGACTGCTGCGACGCAACGTCTCGGTATCACTGGGATCATCGGCCCCAGCTGGTTCTTCGTGCATAACAGGCGTGGAACTAGGCATGTTCTCCTCCTCCGTCTCCTTCAAAGACATATTCTCCTTGTCGAGATCTCCGTAGCCCTTCGAGAAGCCTCCAGCCCAACTGGATTTGCGATGACCACGGGCACCGGCAGTCCTGACGCTCTGGCTGCGCTGAACTCCGCCGGTTGGCACGTTGTTCGTGATCTGGCTCAAGGATAAGATACGGCGAGCAGCGCCTGCTTGCGACGGAGGCTTCAGGTTTCGTTTCGCGGAAAGGGCCAAGTTCACAGCAGGAGACGCAGGCTTCTCGGGGACTTCATTCCCCTGACCCGGCTTCTGGTCTCGGACACGCTTACGGCTCATAGCGTCGCGCCCTTTGGTTGCCTTTGACATCAGCAGTACGCGGGAATGGTCCATAACCCCTTCTAGAATGCGGCGCTCCAAACCCTCGGCACGAGATTCCATATCGTGAAGCTCGTCCCGACGGATATGCAGTGCAGTCTCGAGAGACGAGACATCGCCCGTCAGTCTGGTCTTTTGCCGGATGAGACTTTCTTGCTCCGTTCGAAGCCCGAGAACAGAAGCCCTGAGTCTCTCTTCCTCTTGCTTCAGATCCAGCAGACTAGCTTCGATCTGCTCCTTGAGAGCAAGCTTGCGCTCGAGATCAATGTTCACTTCCTGGAGAAACTGCTCTCTGTCGTCTTCCTCCTCTTTGATCTTCTTGGTCTGGCTTGCAAGGAAGAGCGAGATGTCCGTGGCTGTTTGGATTACTTGCTGATGGACCTTTTCAAGAGTGTCGAGCTGACCAAACGCCTTCTCAGCAGCATGACTATGATCAACGAGCTCGTCCAGCTTGACGTGAACGGCGGCATCGTCGTACTTGTCAGTGGGGATCAATGCCTGCTGCTCGGCAAGCTTGTCCAGCTTGTCTTGCAGGGCTGCGTCATCGTACTTCTCAGTCGGAATCAGCAGCTGCTGTTCAGCCAGAACTCCGAGCTGTTCCCGAATTATTGTGTCATCGTACTTCTCGGTTGGGATCAACAACTGCTGCTCAGCAAGCTTGTCCAGCTTCTCGTGCACTGGCGTATCGTCGTACTTCTCCGTAGGGATCAATGACTGTCCACAGGCAAGCATGTCGAGCTTCTCTTGAACTGCCGCATCGTCGTACTTCTCGGTCGGAAGCAGAGACTGGTACTCAGCGATCCTGTCCAGCTTTTCCTGGACCACTGTGTCGTCGTACTTCTCGGTCGGGATCAACAGCTGCTGTTCAGAGAGCTTGTCAAGCTTCTCATGCACCGGCGCGTCATCGTACTTCTCAACAGGCACCTGAGAGTGCTCCACAAGCATGTCGAGTTTCTCGTGAACGGGCGCGTCGTCATACTTCTCCACAGGTATCTGAGAGTGCTCCACGAGTTTGTCAAGTTTCTCATGGACCGGCGCGTCGTCGTACTTCTCGGTCGGGATCAACAGCTGCTGTTCAACGAGCTTGTCAAGTTTCTCGTGGACCGGCGCATCATCGTACTTTTCGACTGGTACTTGAGAGTGCTCTACAAGCTTGTCGAGCTTCTCATGAACGGGCGTGTCGTCGTATTTCTCTGCCGGAGTGGAAACATGCTCCACGATCTTGTCAAGCTTCTCGTGTACTGGCGCGTCATCGTACTTCTCAGCAGGAACAGAAGCATGTTCAACGAGCTTGTCAAGCTTTTCATGAACACCTGCATCATCGTACTTCTCGACTGGAACCTCGGAATGCTCGATCAATTTGGTAAGCTTCTCCAGAACGACAGTGTCGTCATACTTGTCTGGGATTGGTGGCAGAGCGAGCTCGACTGGCTTGGCATCCTCAATTGTCTTCTGAATATCATTCGTTGACGTCTTGGCGTAATCGTAATGTTGGCCAACGATAAGCAAGACATCTTTGATCGATTCCAAGATCTGAGGTTGAGATTCAACAAGCTGTCCCTGAATGATTTCGACGGCGTCGACAGCTTGCTTCAGGTGATCCCGAGTTTGCTGGTGATCGGCCTTCCCATCTGTGTGGTTCTCCTCAGACTTGGTCATGAGATCCTCAACTCTGGTGAATACGGTCTTGGACGCCTCCTCCATCTTCTCCATCGAGTCGGTAACAGCAGCACCAAGTGTGTCCACGAGAGACTTGAGCTCTTCCGCAACAGCCTTGGTACCCAGGACTGCCTCTTCGGTGCTGGCATCTCTTGCCTCCCCAGCTTTGGCGCGGTCGTCAAGGGCAACGTGAAACTCGTCGTACTTGGTCATCAACTCCGTGACCTTCTCCTCAATCTTGGCGCTCAAGGCATCAGTAGTCTGCTGGAACTTCTCATCTGACTCCAGCTTAGCGCCGACTACGGCGGCCT